ACATGCAAATCTATCTTCTAATTTTTTATTTTATGGATCCATATCAATCATAATTATTTCTTTTTTATGATTACTACAAATTCTACTCAAACTTGGTGTTTTCTATTCATAATAAATATTATATACAGAATCATTTTTGGTTACGTTTGAAGGAATTATTTCAATTACATTATTCTCCATAATATCTTTGATTGTCTCCTATGTATTCTTAAAAGTGTCTAAGGTCTAAAAGTATTCAGAACTATTAAATAAAAGTTCAAATTATCTTTATATTTCATTAATGAAGTGGTTATCCTCTATTAATTTAGGTGATTTCTATTATTCTTAAGAGTACAATTCAGATAACTATTTTATATCCTCAAAATAATTTAATTGTTATTCATATTCTTATAATTCTTATTTTTCTGTTTATATCGGAAATATATATTATTAAATTTATTTATACAATTTCTCCAAAGAATTATCAATTGATTATTTAAAATCCATGATTTGATCTAATATATTTTATAATAGTTTAGTCTTGCTTAATTCTCTTTTGTTTTGATTTCTTTTTATTAAGCCTTTACCGATTAAATTCTCTCTTTGGATTACTCTATTGTAGTGACTTTATTATTATTAATTTTCTCAACTAAACATTTACAACAAAAGAATTAGATCTGTGCCTTATCTGATAAGTCTAAATCAACCGCAATCAAGTCTAGATTATGAATTTTACAAATTGTTTCTTATGTTTCTTGTGCTTACTTTTAATTTAAAATATTCATCTATTATTTAATTTATCGTTGATTATAAGTAATAAAAATCACTCTTTATTTGACATCATCACAATACAATTCTAATTCTATTAATAATTTATATTATATGAATTTTTTATTAATGTTATTTTATAAGATATAGAATTTAGAGCAAAAACTTTAAATAAACAAAGGTAAAATTGCTCTGAGATTTCAATTATTAATATTATAAACCTGAAGATAGAGAAAATATGCAAATTGGATTTATTGAATAAAAATAACAGATCATTCATAATACCAGGATTTTATGATAAATTGTTATTTTTTTATGCAATCTACAAATGATGGATTAGGCGATATTTGTATTATTCGATATTTTGTAAGAGGATTATTCATTTCTAAAATTGTATGATATAGGTTAAGATAATACTACTACATTGAAATACTACCAAAAATTATCTTAGCATTTAAGCTTAAAAATCATATTTGATTAATATTAAAGTTGGATAGAGTCATCTTCTTATATTATGTATTGATAATATTTCTTTGAAATATAATCCTATTAAAAAATTTGAAGTTAAAAGTCGTATTACATTCAATAATAATAATAGAAAATTCCTTTTAGTTCCTTAGGGGTAATGCGATATACATAAATTATAATTAGAGAATAAATATATATTATAATTTCGTGTGGTGATATTATTAATAATTCAGGACAATAAGGTATCTTTCATTGTAACCTAATTCACTAAAAAATATTTATTATGATGTAAATGTAGACTATTGGAGTTATTGAAAAACAACAGATTAACAATAATATTATATATTATAAAAAAAAAGAAGTAATTAACGATATTCAATATTTATTTTAATAACGCTTACATTAAACATCTGGCCAAGAGTACGATATAATAATTTATTTTGTACACACATTATAAAACCTCCATTTCTTTGGTTTATGCAATATTTCTTCTTCAGAGCTTATTTATTGACTTAAAACCTAACCTATTTAGAAGAAATCATTTTACCTTCAAGTTATTAACATATATTTAAATATGACTTTAGTA